AGTAATGGCATTATTAGTTTGAGTGTTTGTAGGTCTTGGGTTTTCTGATGAATTCGCTATTACTTGAGATGACAAAATGGCAATAATAGTACTAGTGGTACTAGTAATGGCATTATTAGTTTGAGTGTTTGTAGGTGTTAGGTTTTCTGATGAATTCACTATTACTTGAGATGACAAAATGGCAACATGTCTCGTTGATCGAGAGACTTGTAAGTAGAAAGATGTCGAATGAAAGGATTCAGTAGAAGGTGGAGAACTCATAATACTTGGAAACTGAAAGTAAATAAAGACTGTGAAGAAAATAGCTAACTCATAACTTACTGAAGTAATAGAAATTACTGGACTATTCTCCACAGATGAGGTAGCATCAGGGACAGACTCAGTGCTAACACCTTATAATACAAATAATTTTAAATAAAAATTTTAAAGGCTTACTTATCTTCACAGTGACTAATGGAAAGTCATTGTTGGCTACTGCAAGTGATTGAGATATTGTTGATGGAGGAGAGTTTTGACCAGGATCAACTCGAAGATTAGTTGGTCCATTGAATCTCTGTTCATATAGAACTAATCTCTCTCCATCAGTTCTATCACTATAAACACCAAATATGTCTCCTTCCTGGAACTGCAGTGGAGTCTGAGGAATAAACTCATAGAGATTAGTACCAATCATTGTATTAGCATTAACTAAACTAGATCCTGTTTTATTGTAATTATTGGGACTCAGTTGACGCCATATTTGGAGCTCAGATTGAATAGCAGTGCTTCCATTATTGTTAGCCCCAAAAATCCATTTAGTAACTGATCCATTACATGAGAATACAATCCATGGATAAATGAACTGGTGTTGGCCAAAGAAAACTTGTGATCTAAGTACTTCAAGTGCTTTCTGTTTAATAACTGAAGGAGTGATTGAATTGGCACTATTAACACAGTATCCATCTAATGATAGTAAAATAATTCAATGATACAGTGAGTGTGTCTTACCTGTTACTGGATATACTAATATCAACTGATTTGTGATTGGATTTGTAGTTAAGTCAACATTTGTATCGTCATAGTTAAACTCTTGACTATTTGCTGTTATACCACTGATATAGTAGACTCTAACAACACTGTTTCCTCGAAGCGGTTGTGATACAGCTAACAGGTCTCCACTCATTATTGGTATAGGAGGATTGAGTGGATATTCAAACACTCCACTAGTACTGACATTAGAGGTAGAATAATAAATAGTTCTCTCACTACCAGTCACTAGACTACCATTAGGTCTAAAGACCTGGACACTGGGATAGAGATTACGACTGCCAGTAGCTTCCCTTATATTAATACCCAATATAAGACTGGTTATATTAGTAAATGAACAATTGAACTGATACTCTTGAAGGACTCTAAGTCTATTGTTACCCACAAAGGTTTGAGATGGGCTTGTTCCTATTCTCTGTGCTCTGTATGTCAGTAGTGGTAGCTCCATAAACCTTTCTGTACATTGCTCAGCGCCTAGCCAGAAGCACCAAACATTGACTAGAAAACTAAATCTATCTAATACCTTTTGACAGAGAGAGAAGAAACAGCAATATCAACCCACATAGCATCTTTACACTGCCCTGGCTTCTTCCTTATTGGTCAACTATTATAAGCACGTAGTAGTAGTAATACAATATAACAGTTTAGACAAGATTCTGTTTACATAATAAACTATGTAGAATCACACAGCCATCATCAACTTTAATAAATTGAATAATAGATCTACTATCTATTTTTATAGCAAATTTCATAATATAAAAATCTACATTAAAAATTAAAATGAAATGGGCATTAAAGCAAAGCCACAAAAAGCATATACACATAAAAATACAACAATCATCAGATTATACATTATTGGTATGAGAAAGAGTGAATAATGACAGAGATGGGAAAGAGACAAGAAGATTGGTAGCTTTTTATATTTTCATTTTAGATTTAACAAATATTTGTTGAAGTTCAGGATACAAGTCTTGACCTGCCTCTAAATCTGATCCAAGGACAGAGGAAGACTCATGAACTGCTTTATTCTCATCACTCCAATGAAGGAGACCCTCTGGGTCCTCTGCCAATGTATCAAGAATATCCTTAAATGTTGGCCTGTGATTACTGTCAGGGTTCCTGAAAATAAAAAAAGAAAAACAAAGAGTGTAAAAGCAAAAAAGATACAAAATAAAATAAATCACATTAAATCCTTCAATATTCTTATTTTCTACTTACACACACACATAACAAATTAACACACACCCACTCACACATACCAGCAGTGTATCATCAATTGATATATTCCTCTGGGGCAACCAGGAGGAGGAGGCAGACGATACCCAGTCTGTATCATCTCCATATACTACACAAAAACA